TCGTACAAATATCGAATGTGAAATTGCAGCAGTATCGGCCGATTTATGCTTGAAAACCGTCGAAAATTGGGTTTAGCGTCTGGGCAAGCGAGCCCGTGGCGTTCATACATAATGGCATCGAATGTACTTTCACAGAAATGAAGAATTTCATTGATATCCCAAAAATATATGAGTTGGGATTGTCATTGAACGTTGAAATTTCATTTGAAAGCAGTTCTGCTTCCAAAGATATTGTTTAGAGTTCGAAAAGGCAGATATTTCGAAATCCTTACACAACTTTTTAACCCAAAATATTATTAAACAAATCTATAAAATGATCCAAATAGTGGAAGAATTTCGTAATAAACTTTCACTTTTCTGTCATGTTGATCGAATAATTGGATATACACAAATCGGTTCGACGACCTGACAAACTTTAATGTAGAATGTTTCTAGTCCTAAACCAACTGACCTATCCAAGCATGTAATTAATAATCGTAATGCAAATAAAACTAAAATTGTTAACCCAACGAACTTTAATTACTGAGCGAAGCTATACTGATTGGCAAATAAAGCGACGTGGCCGAGATCAATGTTAGCCAGAGTTAATTATCTATTAATTATCCAACCTCGTAAGCTTAACTACTACGCAAATATGAGTAATTATACTAGTAAGAAATGGTGAAGTTCAGGCATTAAAAAAAATAAGGTTGTGAGACATAAGGGGTAAGAACTATATCGATATATCGAGAAGTGTTCCGAAAAAATTTACCATAAAATAATTTATGGAAGCAAGTTGTGGTAAAAATTGTTTTTTCATCCAGTTTCATAACGATTTTTTTCTTAATATGCAAGAAGTAGGTGACGCCCATAGTCCACTATTGAATCGGTCAGTGTGACGACCTGAGTTGATTTAACCGTGTTTGTCTGTCAGTCTATCTGTAAACTTACCGAACAAAATTGTGGGTAACACTTGGGTTTAAAAATCGAATTTTGATTATTTTTATTAAATTTGCAACACCTCTAGAACATTGTCCTAAATTTTTAAGTCGATCCGTGTAATAGTTTCGGAGATACAGCCTTGATAACTTGAGCACTCGAGACCACCTATGCTAAGTCTTTAAAAGCGCTTTTCTCGAAACTGTGTTTTTTAAGGCGGTTGGAAAGATTATCAACCGATCTTCATGAAATTTTACACGGGTGGTTGAGATACAATTCTCAAAGACTTGGACGATTGATTTTTTTCGATTACAACTATTAAATAAAAAACTCATTAATTTTTTTAATTTTTTTGGAAAAATATGTGCCAAAAATCCAATTTTCAATTTTTTTCCTCCGCCCAAGTTCTAATGCGGGCGCATCTTTTTTCGGGGGGCTTAAAATATTTTTTCCCAAAAATTTCAGAATTTCTTTGTAAATAGTGTATATTTGTAACAATAAAAAATTCTAATAAAATATTACATTTCTTATATGAGAAAAAATGTTTGAAAAAGTTTTTGTTTTTTATCCGAGGAAATTCATGTAACCACTTATCCGTGTCTGGATGTCAGTTTGTCTGTAAGCTGACTGATTAAAATTAAATTCTTGTACGACAGAAATTTTTATTTGACAATATATCTCAATTGTCTAAGGCAAAGTAAAAATATCTGAAGAAATTTTCCAGATCGCACCACTATAGAATATAGCTGCCATATAAACTGAAGATATCTTCACAAAATTTGCTATAGAATATGGTCTAAGGCAATGCTAAAATATCTGAAGAAATTTTTCAGATTGGAACACGACAGCAAACAGCTGCGATATATACAGATCGATCAAAATTACACAGAAGAACGAGGGATTCTAGCTTCGGTGCAAAGGAAGTTAACTTTTTTAGTTTAGTTGGTTGATAAGTTAAAAGGTACGATTAGTAATCGCTTTAGTAGGTGATCCACCCTCAGAGCAGAGCTGTCAGATTTTAGCCGCTGAAAAAAATTATGAAAACGAATACTTAATACGCGACTAAATGGACTTAATATACGTATGTATACAAGCTTAAAATAAAAATGCGGTTATTAAGTAAGTAAGTAAGTTGGATAGTAGAAATAAATTATGTTTAGCTAAAGTAGTGCAATAAACTGTAAGAAACCATTTCGATAACTGAATAAGAATGACAAAGCTGCGAAAGAACACACAACATCAAAGTCTGCACCCACCAAATTGTCAGGAGTAAATAAAACAAAGAAGAAATTAACAAATATTTTTTGTTTGCATTTGTAAGAGTTATATTTGTAATATATGTATATAGTATTTCTTTTAAATGTAGTATATTTCATAATTATCTATATTAAATAATTTTTTCTTGCTTTCTCTTTCTGTTTTTTTTTTTTACATTAAAATGTGAAAATCATTTTTTTTTTTGTTTAATTTAGCTTTATTTTATTTAATATTAAATTAATTATTATACTAACAATTTTACTTAATTTTAAATACAATATGCTGATATATGTATGTATGTACTTTTCGCATTTTATATGTTTACAGCTACAACAAAAGTTGTTACATATTGTTGTTTGTTATTGTTTTTATCTATTGTATTACAAAAAAGGCGAAGTTAATGCCAGCCGATAGTATTTGTTCTTGTTGTATTTTTAATCCTCCTCCTCTTATTCTTCTGCTATTTCTAGTTTTTTACATTTGATTATGCTATTTTTGTTTTGCTGCTGTTGTCTTTAGTTTTTTATTTATTTTTATTTTTTTGATTTGTTTAATCGGTTGCGCCAGTGCTAGTTAGGTAATTATGCAATAATATTAGTTTACTAGGGCGGTCTGTATTTCCTTGCAAAGGAAAAGTACATTTTTGCTTTTTTACTTCTATTCGAATAATAACTGTGCTAATATTCTTCGCTCTTTGTTGTATTCTAATGTTATTCTTATGCCTCTTCTTCTTCTTATTAACTTCTTTGCTTGCATCTCTTGTGTACTTGCCCGATTTGCTTCGATTCCCACATACAGCAGACATTCTTCAATTTTTTTTCTTTCCTACTTTACACACACACTTCTACATTCCAGTTGTTTTTTTTTTTTAATTCAAAACATGTTCTTTTTTATTTAAAAATGACATTTCTTTCATTTTCATTTTTTATGCTTTGCATTAATGTGCTTTGAGATGTATGCAAGTAAGTATGTATGCATGTACATATGTACTATGTATGTATCGTCCGCACATTCGAGTACTTATGCAAAACGTTCGTTTTCAACGGATCACAACGCGCACACCTAGAAATTATGCAGTCAATCAGTTAAATTATAAAAATTAAGGATGTGGGTTTGAGCGTGTGTGACGACTAGCCGATGGTGGTGGTGCATAGATGAATTGCATGAAATGATAAAGATAGGTAATAAATGTGTGTGTGTCAAAAACGGAACTCGGACCAACTGATTGCCATGAAAACCCTTTTTATAGGTATTTTAGTACCGAGCATTTAAAAATATTGATACCGAACTTTTGAAAATATGAATTCATTTGAAAACTTTTGCTCAGAAATAACGTTTACATAATTGTATAGTCATAATATCGAATTTTCGAAAATCAAGTACAGAAATTTTTAATAGTGCAGTAATTTTTTTGAAATTCTAGTACCGAAAATTTAGTAATTTTTTAACGAAATTGTTCCAATATTTTGGTACATATTTTTCTGAAATACTAATACCGAATCCTAATTTCGAATAATTTCGTAAAAATTATTTTTGGTTTTACTTCTAGTATCGAAATACCGAAATAGTACTCTTTTTTGAACATTTTGACATCGATATTTTTGAATGTTTTTGTACCATTTTTAATCGATTCTGAATCTCTATAAACTTGCTATGTATTAAAAAAATTTTTGCTAGAGTAGAAATTTGTTAACAAAACAGGAAAATTGTCATTAAAGCAGAATCTGGCGATAATATCCTCAATATCTATTGAATATAACAAAAACAACTGCAATAGTAAAGTAAATATTTGGCGAAATTCACACAAGGACATTTCGGCATACCATTACGCCGGCGACACACATTAAAGAAGTGCATGATTTTATGTTAAATGTGTGTGTATGTGTAAAGGCAAGAAATAGCAAAACGGCACTTTTTAAGATGATTAAAAAAATGTAACAACACTCTGTTAGTATTAAGCTAAAGAAATGATTTCTTTACAGTTTATCAATTTAGGTATTTATGTAGGTAAGTATATGTATATATATGTATGTATGTATACATAATGCTTTTAAAACCTATACATCCCCTATTTTACTTATATTAGTAATAGCAATGCAATTTTCCTTCAATAAACACCTAGTGTCTTTAGAAGTAAAAACCCTTAGCAAGTGAGTATAGAAAAGGTTTTGACCGCGCACTACACTTGCTCTTAACAGCGCAGTGCGGCAAACGTACAGGGTGGCGCAACAAATTTAGATAATTTAAACTAAAATATTAGTTAACAGGTTAGGTTAGTTATGTAAAAAATATATAAAAAAATTAAAATATATAAAAAACAAAATAAATAAAAATAATAAAAATACATAAGCGTAAAAAATTTTATTAATATGCCAAAAAAATAAATAAATAAGTGTGAATGAAGACAATGTTAGTTAAAAAATAAAAATGAAAATTATTAAAGTAAATCAATTTTTTATCAAAAAAAAAATAATTAAATGAAGTATGAAAAATAATAAATTAAAATATATGACGAACAAAATAAATCTAAATAAATTAGTTCAACCAAAAACACTTTATAACACAACTAATTAAACAATTTATAAAAAAATATTAAAATACTGTCAAAATAATTGTACATCTCTAAAATGCAAAAAGTTGTATTTTAAACATTAAAAACATTAATTTTCAAATTTCAAGTTCAAGTTCAGCTAAATTTGCATTCCGCCACTCTATACGTTTATGCGATCTACTAAACCTAATTCAAAACTAAGAACAATACACACATGTAAATCTGTAAACTGATTATAATATAACTGTGAATAATAAATGTAAAGGCGAACAAATAATCATAATAAAATATAATGAAAATTATGGTGAAAAGAGTGTGCGAAAACAATGTCTAATTATATTGCATACATTTAGGAGTTTACGCCACTTTCAGCTGCGTATTTTTAGGCGCCTTTAACAAAATTTGCTTTTTAGCAATCATAACGGCACCTGTTTCTAATATAACATAACTAAAATTCGAAAGCATAGGCTAAAAGGTCTCTCTCAATCCTCCAGTATTAAGACCTCAAACATAGCGCAGCGAAAGATCAACAATGATGAGAGCAACGCGCATAAAAGCGTGCTTGCTTGCTAAGTGTACTTTTGTTCTCTTAATGCTGCTCTATGTTTTAGGCCTAACGTGTTAAATATTTGTGTCTTAAATTAATTTCTGCATTACTTATAAGTTACATAACATCCTAAACTATAGTTTGTATTTTTTTTTTTTCGAGTTTGAGTTTAAGTTAAAAGTTTACTATTTTGTGTCTTATTCTTACTGCATACTTTTACAATTAAATTATCTATAAAGTTTCTGTGAAACATACGCAACTATTTAGTTAAGTTAAAACTTTTAAATCTCATAGAAAATAGTTTGCACAAGATAAAGGTGATCAAAAAGTGGATAAATTTTATTTAAGTTGAATTTTTTTTAATTTTACCGACAATTGAAGCAACTTTTGGCATAAAAATATAAAATTATATTTTGGAGTGATTTCTTGAATGGCAACCTACACGAAACTTTCAACAGTTCATATCGATGATACAGAATTCTGCAGCTTCAAGTACAAGCAACTGTTGGAAGGAAAAACACTTTGTAATTATTTTTGATTGATTTTTGGCGAAAATCACTTGATTTCAGGACCAATATGGTAAATTTCAGACATTCCCACCACAAAGCTTCGAAAGTCTGCAGTAAAGCTTATATAGAAATGTTGGGAAATTGCATGATTTGCTATGGAAATTTTTTTTACCGAACAATGTTGCATGAAATCGAGGATTTTTACCATCAACTAATGTAAATGGTGTCCGAGCGAAAACACAACTCCACAAAAAATACTTCGTTCTAAAGGTTGACGTTGAACAGCAGTAGGGAGACTTTTTTCGAAAAATTTATTCAAACAAATTTTACTGAAAGTTTTCCCCCAAGCCAATAACTAAATTAAAATCGGTTACACGACTCAGAAAGTATATAGTCTAAAATTGGAATTACCTAGTAGTTTTTTTTACACATTATACAAAGGAAACTATCGTGCAAGTTCACCCATCATTTGCTATAACAACTTTCTGCATTTACATACAATATACATAAGAATATGTATGTATATATAAACACAGCTCATGCAAAAACATACAAAGTATGTACATATATGAAATACCAAAAATTTAACACAACATCCGTATGGAATTTACGGTTCTGGCTCGTTGGGTGCAGCCGATGTGGACTCCATAGCGTTCGTAGTTAGCGTTGATGTGGCAGCCGAATTAGAAGATACACTTGCGCCGCTACTTACGCTGCTACCGCGGCGATTACTTTGCATTTGCTGTTGTTGTTGTTGCTGCTGGCGGTGTTCGTGTGCGTAGTATTGTTGTTGTTGTTGTTGAGTCAGTGCATCGCTGTACAGCTCGGTTCTGGTATCGACGGTATGTATACTGGGCGATGAATCGGTAAGTTCTAAACATTGAAAATTTTGTTCATTCTCCTCGACCATTTCCTTTTGTTGTGCTTTTTGTTGCGTATTTTTATTTTAAATTTTTATTTTATTTTTTTATTTTTAATTTTATTTTGCACGATTTTTCCACGGTCGCATGCACCAGCGCCAGCGCAGAACAAGTTGGCGGGCGGCAATGGTAAGCAAACAAAAGACCGTTATTTGTGAAAAAATAGAGAAAACGAGAGAAAAGAGAAAAAATTGCAAACATTAAATTTACAATAAGCTTCCCATTCTTACAACAATTGGACTTAAAGTCGATGATGTTCTAATGTTTCTGATTTTTGAATGCGTTCCACATATTTAGCAAATGCAATTTGGATGAATGGAAGGATGTGTGAACAAAACAAAATCGTAAAAATGTGTGTAGTAGCTCAAGCTGTAAAATTAAGCACATTTTATGTTTAAATCATGAAAAACTTATTTTTTCTTGTTGCAGTTTTCTGATTTTATAATTGCTGAGCAGAAATGTTGGATGAAGTTGGAGAGATAAAAGTTTTACTTTCGTAAGTAAAACAAAAAAATAAAATAAAAACAAATTTAAATAATAATTAGTACACAGAACTTTCTTGGGAAATTTACTTTTACAAAAAAAAAATAATAATTTCTGAACAGATGCATGCAGTAAAAACAATAGACTTTTATTTGGCAGCAAAAAATGATAAAATTGCCATTTCGATCAGAATTTTTATTAATGATTTAGGAATTCATTTTTGAGGTTAATAAGCCTAATGCGTAATAATAATGTCATTTCACATATGTAAATTTAATTAATTATAAAAAGCAAACGTTGCCTACATTTTGGCGCATATCGGAAAGAACGACGCGCATGACCCTGCAGCCAACTAACGTTAATTATTAGAGTATGCTACCAGAGATTTTTGCTACAGTTTCTATGAATTTCTTAAGGCCAAATTGACTGAACTAACCGAAACTCTTGTGAACGTGTGATGATTGTTAATGCCTTTTTTAAAGATATTGCTTATGACTAGCAACTTTTGTCTACATTTCCATGATAATTATTTCAATGTACCGTGGTTTCAGTTAGCATGACTTGTTGTGTTTTTCCGCTAAAAATCTTAGTGAAGCAACAGGCTTTCGTATATGTTATGACATTTGAGGAAATGAAGAAATTGGCAAAAACTAAATAATGAGCTGTTTTAGGTGAAGAAATCCACATGCTGGCCAGAAAAGGAAATACACTGTATTTTTTCACAGAATTGTCAACAAAAACAAGCTTAAATTGCTTGAGTTTACTTAAACAAGGAATTTGTGCGTTAATCTAAGAAAGCTGCCGATCACAAAAATTAACGTGACACGTTCGAAAGGTCACGCTAACAGCAAATAGATTTCCGCAAACACTTTTACTGATAAAAATTCATATTTTTTTCTCTAGTTAGCAACAAAATATACAATAAAGGTTTATTATTCAAATTTATTCCTTTCATATTAAGTTTTATACAAAATGTTCCGCTTTGTTTGTTTATAAAAAGAAAAAAACATACATACATACATACATACATACATACAACATACAGACGGTACACTCACCTAAGCATATTGAACATACATTGTAAAAAATATACATACAACTAAACAGTTATACAAAAAGGAAGACATTAGTTCACTAATCCACAAAATTGTACAAGAATTCGGACAGCCGCTTGGCATCAACAAGTGCATTCGTTTTCCGCCTCGTTCAAGAGCACTTTGCCACGCTTCGCCTTACGCATCGGCTGACGGCGCCTACGCGCACCAACACGATGTCCCAAATTGAGTAGATCCTCTTGCGGTACATATGGTAAATCGTTAACATCAAAATTGGAAGAATCCAACTCGGCCAGACTATTATTCAGGCTATGTGTATCGCTTGAGGGTATTGAGGGCGTATTGAGTTCCATCATGGCCTCATCGTAAGCATATGTTGCCAACGGATCGGTTGTGTCATCATCAATGTTGCCACGAAAATAACGCAACGCATGACTATCACTAGGGCGTATAACATTCAATGTGAACTCCAATATGCCCGTTATATCGATCATGAAGACGAAAGCAATAACTGCGAGTAGGAAACGTGCCATATAGAAGGCGTCATTGCGTATCCACGACGACAATGTAGGCGCATTATTGGCCAAAAACGACTCATTCGCCACGATCACATACTGGCCGAGAAAGCGACAAATAAAATTCAACAACTTCAAACTGGGCAACCACACTTGACGCAGTAGAAAATCATTGGCATACAAAATCAGCGACAATTCAATGAAGAAGATCAATGCACGCTGCGGCTTACGCAATGCACTCGGCCAAAGTGGACGCAATTTTGTGAGAATACATAGCACAGAGAATACAAATAGACTGGAAGCAACGTTGGGCGTCAGCAGTGGCAAACGAGAATACTTCAACTCGATTATGCTGATGCGATTCAGATGCATAAACAAACCGATCAGCACTATGACGCTCGACTCGATCAACTTCTGATAACGCTGCACCTTTTCGAACTCTAAAAGCATGGCGTCGCAATTGTCGGCGAGTCTGTAAGTGTGCGTTGGTTGTGTGCGTCACTGTGGTGAATTCTTGCTCCGCACTGCCTTTACACAACTTCGCGAACGCGCGGCGAACTTGAAGGGCGTGGCAGTGTAGGCAAGCAGTTGTTTGCTGTTTGGAAACGATGGCTGGGGTTGTTGTGGTTGGATGTTGATGATGCTGCTGCGGCGGCGACGTCGTGTTTTGGAATTGGTTTTTGGTTTGGAATTTTACGTGAGTACCGAAATTTGCAAATGCAATGGAAAAATTTTTTGTAACAATTCAATTTTGATGAACTATGTATTTGCTATTTTTGAAATAATTTTTGAGCAGAAAATCACACAAAAATTATTTTATAAGAAAAAATTCAAAGTTATGTCATAGTAAACACAAAAGTGTTACGATCAATGCAAAGTAGATTGGTATGTAAGTATTAACGCTGGACGGTAGTGCGTATCTAAACTTATTGTGTTTTTGAATTTAGAAAATGGTTTCAAAGCGGTAAATACATTACTAATGAACAATCTGTGAGTATATTTCATTTAATTTACGGTTTCAGACTTCACTGAAAGTGTTAACATTTTATATGACTTATATTAGGTTTGTTTCTAAATGGCTATCAAGTAAATAATGAGTAGTAGAGAGTGCTGGAAGTTTCTGCTAGCAGAAAATAGCTTTTGGCATTTGAAGAAAGAGCAGTTAAAGTCCATTGTAAACAAATGATGTTTGACGCATTTGCTTGGAATTTGCCCATTTTAGATGAGAAAAGAAATAATTGACTAATTTATTGATTACTTTTGGAAAAATCATGCTAATTTGCGGTTTCTTCACTTTTTCGGTATTCGGCTTTTTGATCGTAACTTGTCACATTCGCATTCATCTTCTTCTTTATAACTGTTAGCTATTAGCATATTTCGAAAAAAAAGTGATACGATAGCACTAGTTCTTCAGTTAACATTTGTGTTGACTACATACAAATGTATGAACTTCATTAATTCAAAGTGGAAATTCTTTGACAACTACAAAAACGTTTGCGTTACGACAATTAACGCGCTTAATTTTTAATTTAACAAAATGAACTGCTTCATGTAACTTTTCCTATGTAATTTCATTTTTTTCGCGTGTGAGTCGTGGACGCTCCCAATTTGCTCTTATTTGTTGTCTTTGCCGCATTAGTAGTACTACTAACATTATCAAGCTTCTGCACAGTTGCCAACATCTTTTCCCTCAGAGCTTTTCTCCGCTCTCTAAAGGCTTTTGCACTATCTTCAGTTTCTTTCAATTTTTTGGAATTCGTTATAGCAGACGCGGTTTTCACTGGTGCATTGATAACCTTCGGCAAATTGGCAATAGCAGACAACTCCCCCGTAGCTGTGATCGGCGCCACAATTGTCGATTCGATGGATTCACATTTGTCTTCTCGTGCTCTTTTTTGTGCACCACTTTCTTTCGGAAAATCCACCGATATCTTCCTCTTCTGTAGTCCGGCAGCATTGCCATTACAAACGGCATCAACGGATAACTTTTCCTGCACAAATTGTGTCGGTAGCATATTTTCCGTTGCTCGAGTCAAAGCATTTAAAACGGCCAAAACGTTTAAGCCTGAAAAATCCGTTTCGAACCACTAGTAAAAAGTTCACCTCCCAAATGTATGTACATATGTAGGTAGTCAATATTGTTTGACACTTGGTCGAAAGTAGCTCATATGCAAAAAATGGCTTAATCGCCAGTAAAATAAATTTTTTGTTCGGGCTATTAAGGAAGCATTCTATGAATTTCTTGATATGATAAGGGTAAGCTTAACAAAACAACCGGGAAATTTTTAGCACCTATTTCGAGATTTTACTTCACTACACTTGTCTGAATATTTACTTAGCTTAGTTCAATTAAAGATCATCTAAATATGTGTATAGGGATTAAACAAAAGTTTCTGAAAACACATTGACTCTCTTAACCTCGCTATTGCCTCATGTTTCACCCTCTTTCACTGCTTTCCCACAAAATCGCAAAATTTTTCTACACGAATCTGCTCGATAATACCGCTTAACTCAATCAGCTCTGGAGTTTACTCGTCAACGTTCGTCATAGTAATCGTTAAAGTTTTCGACTTTTTTCATTTTTCTGCTAACATAAGTATGCGCAACAATACCAAAATAAATCTAGCGACAAGCAGTGGAGATACACTCCCTAAGTCAGAAAATTATATAAATTCTTTCACAAAATTGATAATAAACAAAGTTATTGTAAAGAAATACCTAAAAAAAAAAAAAAAAAAAAAAAACCGGACGTAACATTCTCTCACGGCATTAGAACACTACTATGTGATTTTAAGTCGAGGATTTTAGTGCGCATGTGTAGACAATCCATTTCTTCACAGAAACAAATTAAAAGACAATTGAATTGCAAAACACACAGATTGAAAAAAGCAACATCGTTGCGCTTAACTAATATAAAATTAATAAATATAACTGTAATTGTAACTGTAACTGTAACTGTAGGCATGTGTGTTTTTGTATAGTAAAGGACTACATAGATTCTTATTTGTCGCTTGTTCGTGCATAATGTAGGGTTTTGATTAATGCCTAGAGTTCCTACCTAGACTACTGCTATTACTACTACTATGCAATATATAAATATGTATATATAGTAAACTATATATATTACTTGATTTAATGTTTGTTTCTTTAGTACGAATAAGCGTCCAACGTACCAGTTCGTGGCGGTTGAAAAGCATTGCGCTGACTGGCATTGGGACCGCCGTTACCAGCAGCATTGCCATTGCCGCTGCCGCTGCCGTTAATATTAGATGTGGACACCGCCGCATTTGGAGCGCTAACAGCTGAAGTTTGCTTGATGGTGGGACGCCGCTTGGCCAGCGGCATATCGTCATCGGAATCGCTGAGGGTTAAATCCACCTGCACACGAAGAGAAATAAAATTATTATTTAAATGAAGGTAGGAAAAGGAAGAAGGAAAGCAATCTATAAATTTTAATACTTAGAGAAAGCACTAACCGTTTCACTATTTGTTGTTGATGTGGGCTGATCATTAGCGATGGCAGGTGGTGCGCCAGCTTTAACCATTTTCACATCCTCTGTGGTGATGACCTCTGAAAAGTATAAAGTATATTCATTACAGATTCTTCATACACACTTCATACAGGATTCCGGTCTAAATTCACATACCGATATCATCCGAAATGACTTCGACTTTTTCAACCGGCTTTGTCGGCGTATCGATTATTTGAGCCTCATTACGTAAACTATGTGTGCTCCATGAGCCATCTTTATGTAATTGTATCTCCGTATCGTCGGGTTTAAGTAGCGATGAGGCGAGCACCTCTTGAAAGTAGCTGTAATAAAACAGACGTTAGGTGAAACAAATAAAAATACATATAAGCGCACACATGGCGTACCCATCAATGACCAGATTATCGTAAATGGCTGGCTTATCGCACACTGGACAATTCCATGTAGGCTTACGCTCGTTCATCTGCAGGTAAAGACTTGCATCAAAACATTGTAAATGCGAGCAAGTCGATGCACGGCATGGTATGGACATTTTCATCTTGCCCAACGGACAATTCAGTGAAACTTTAAGCATTGTTGTAGCGATTTCGCAATCTGCATCTTCAGTGAGTTTCTCTTTAACTGTAAATAAACGACATACTCTTAGCAAAAGCACTATTTTGTAGTTCGTAGGAGATTTGCATACTTAAACCGCGCGTGTAGTCGGCTGGTTTGACGCCCTTAGTCTTCATGCGATGCAATAATTGCGCTGAAGTGAGCTTCTTCACCAAGTATACGGCAATGCAATAGCCACGCGTATAATCCGGGCACCATTGTACTGTGATTGTGTTGGTAACTGTAGGCGAAAGCTTTACATTTGCTGTAACATTGACGGGGCGAGGTGGTCGTTTTGGTTCCACATTCGGTCTGTTTGTTGGAATGACATTCTAGTAGCAAAAATAAAATAAAAAATTAAATTAAAATAATATTTTCGCAAAAAAAAAACCAAAATAATAATAAAATAAAAAGTAAAAATAAAAAAATTTAAAAAATAAATAATAATAATAAATAATAATAATAGTAATAATATTCTATAAAAATGAAATACTAAACATAAATTTTAAATTAGAAGTATACAATTAATAAGTAAAAAATAATAAATAAAGAAATAAAAATAAAAAAAAACTTTACGTCGTTTGCATCGAAGCTATAATACCTTTCATAAACAGAAAGTTTTACATACATATAAGAACTTAATTTTGATCGATCAATTTGTATCACAGCTGTATGCCATAGTGGTTCGATATAACGGGGATAACGTTTGCAAAATTTCAGTCATATCTCGAAACTGAGGGACTACTTGGCGAATATGTATGCAGTCAGACGTATGTACATGGACAGTCGGGTCTACGTAACCGGAACGTACCCGGATTTTTTATCTGGCCAAGGACGGTTAACTCAGCAGAATTCTGCTGCTACAACAACAACAACAGAGTTTTATGGTTAAATAGGCTCAGAGTTTGAGTTTTCTAAGTTGTTACAAACTTCGTAGCAAACTTAATACACCCTGTTCAGGGTATGAAAATACAAAATACAATAAATAAAGAATATGAACACAATTTAAAATTTAGTCACGAGTCAATGTATAATATAGGCTTTTTTAAAATTCTCAAAAAATGCATATTATAAAAATAAAACTAAAAAATTAAAAAAAAATTAATATTAGCTATTACCGCTATTAATAATAAATTTTATATGTAGCAAAATAAATATATGTTTATAACCAAACTAAAAAAATTATAAAAAATAGGGTTTAATCAGAAAAATAAATAAGATTAAATAAAAACAAAATACTATCCACTTACCGGCAGTTGGCACAACTTATTGTTGACCTTTACACTGACACTGGGCGGGAAACAGTCCTCTTGTTCGCATGAGGTTTCCAATAGACAGAAACGTAGCTGAACCTGTATGGCATGCTCAATCTTATTACTGTTTCGTATGTCTCGATTTGATGCAATCTCTGTGGCCTGTTGTGGTGTCAATGTAAAATAGAAGGGCACCTCTTGTATACGCTGTGTATTGCGCGGCACAAGTGATGAAGGCTTAATCAGCACACCCAGTACATCATAAAAAGCTAGTTTCTTAAGACGTACGTCTGGATGTATCGGTATATGTGTGGGTATGGGATTCATAAACGGTACCATATTGTTGGCAACGCCGGGCCCAGTCGGCGGTACACCGGCGATTGGTTGGGCACCAACAGCTGTTGGTTGACCGGCATTAGGCAGACCAGCTGCTGGATTGGGTTGCACTTGTGGCATTTGCATGTGTGAATACATCCTTTTTGGATCTGTTGGCCCGTACTGCTGAGCTTGCTGCTCTGCACTGTAATACAAGGCATATATTTAATTTTATTCCTGTCTCCACGAAGAATTTTTTTATTTTGTAAAAATATGTGAACTTACATTGATTGTGCGTAAACTTCACGTATTTTATGAGACAATAAGTCGTAGTTTGTATGTAATAGATTAATGATGCGCCGTTGTAAGTCAATTTTACGCCCAGAAAACGAAATATTCAAAAATGTTAGTATCTGTTGCAGCTCTACTACGCGAAGCAAATTTATCATTTCCTCACATTCCTAGAAAAACAAAACAAAAAAATTCACACAATGCCAATATGTAGAGAGAGGTGAGTGATACAATAATAATATATATGATGCATAAACATGTACCCTCAATATTCAGTCCCAAATTATAAGTGAATTTTAGTTGTGACCGTTAGTTTAAGCAGATTTGTTTAAAAAAAAATTAATGAATTTTTGGATCCTATTGATTGACGATTCGAAACGAACGAAAGTTCTATTGCCTTGTAAACAACAGTAAGAGTTTAGTTTTAAACAGCAGATATATTCATAATTATAGAAATAATAATATGTTTTCATAAGACTAATATATGTAAATATCAAAGCTAAGAAACAAACTTATTTATCCTAAAAAAAATTCAAATGATTACTGAGACAATTAAATCAAATATTCTAGGTATATTTGTTGTTTTAATTGCATAAAATAATTCTTCCACTCTGGCGGATAGTACTGTAGTCACCCCACTAGACACCCTAAACTAGGTTAGAAATAAGTCTTTTTAATATTTAAATATCACGCATCTAAAATGATGCGTCCTTTGATTATATTGTTATCTAACTACTTATTTGTACGCTCTACAAATTGTAGAAGCATTGGGAAAATCACCCACAAGTGTCGGGGAAGCACCCACGCCACTGCGACCTGATATAAGTTATGGTGTTTGCAAATCCCTAATTTGCATGTGCCCTTTGCCGGACACTTCGTTCTCACCATATAACTGTTGTTTTCTTGGTTTAACTACTTTTTTCACTAAATGCATTTGAGAAAAAGTTATAATTTCATACCTGATGTAAAGTGGTATTATGCTCCACGAATTTGTACTATTCTTTCTTCCAAGTATTGGCAATAAATTATACTTTGCATTGCACACTTTCTCAACAAATAGAGGGATGGAAAAAATATTTAGCTGCTTTTAATTTAATCAACACAAAATATTATTTATAATAAGCATAGTTTTAAAAATCTTCAACAACTTCCGAAATTTAATTTTTACTGTAAAATAAAATACATTTAATGTATTTTCAGCGCAATATGTACATTTACCGAGAAACTGCTATGATTTCGTTTCATTCAACACACAAAAATTAAGTTGTCCGCAAAGAATATGGCGGCGACAGCACCGACTTCAGTTTGGTGTAAATTAATTTCCCACTATTTTAGAAAACAAATTCTCGTTTGGAACGATACTGAACATACTAAATGGTTGATGAAATATCAACACAACAAAGCATGATAAATAGTACATAAAAGGAAGACACAAACTTAAAATATATACATAAGTTGCAACTAAACGATTTATATTAATAGTTATTTACTCAACGTATATGACTATTAATATTTTTGGTAACATTATGCTAATTTGTTTACAAAGTTTTAATTTAGATTACTTAATAAAGAAATCTAGTCATTTACCAAAATGTGCTTAAACTTTTCTAACTTATATAAAAAAAATTAGAGATATTGAACTTTAATACTTGGTATTCTTTAGAGTAGAAAAGTGACAACCAATATGTGATTTTACTCGATGTAGAAATTGTTAATAAAATATATTTATACTTACTTTCATTTTGAATTACATAAATATTGCACACATTATTATTGGCTACATAAAAATTGTTGAAAATATTAATATTATTTTACTTTTATCTATTCGATAAATTCATAAACGTGTACATCAACTATAAGGCGCGCAAAGAAGCAAACACACCTATAGATTTATAAGGACAGCTGGTCACGAAATAGCGGGATTTTTGACAGCAACCAACGCTTTATGTTGGTTTTTTATTAAACAACTATAATTTTCATTAACAAAAAATGCGTTTAATATAAGATTATCTTGAACACCCAAAGCAAAACCATCTCTTTCCATGGTCTGTATTCATACCTTGATTTTGAAATGCTCCGTTTGTTGCACAATACGCTTTTGTGCACTTACGGCAGCAATCTGGATATTTTGAGGCATGCGATTACTCGTGCTCATGTTTTGTGCCCCACTGTTCTCCGTCGATGAAACAATGGATGGTGAATTGGATGTGGAAGTCGTACGTCCCGCATTTGCCATTGCGGCCTCCGCCTGAGTTTGAGAACGAGTTTTACGCATCGCACCGGCACTTGAAATATCAATGTTTCTGTACACACACAATAATGAGAACTTTAAGGGCAATTATCACACACATAAGCCAATGCACAGAAATTTTGGTCTACGTTTAGCGTACCTTTGCTACCATCAATCACTATACAAGCCACTATATTATTATGCCAGGTAGCATGCGTTTACCAATTATAAACAACTTTTGCACAAATCTCTACACTGGCCGATAGCGACAATCAAAAAATGTCAATTAAAAACATTTGACAGCACAATATGATTAACAGTAGCGATTTAACAATTGCGGTGTTTTCTGATATCGCCGTGTGTTTTCCTTTCAGTCTCTTCCGAAATTCTAGACATCTTTTTTTACTTCTAACAAAAAAAGTCCCACTATTTCCGCTTTCATTGATTATTTTCCTAAAACCACTGAACAGACCATTGAACGACTGTGTCGTTGCCGGATCATTGAGTTCAATTGAACATTTTATGGGTGCTGTATTTTACCAACATGCTTTAAAAAGCGATTTTCAAAGGTGACATTAACGTACTGATATAAAAATTCGGTCTTCGATTCATCACTGCTCTGCAGTTTAAGCTTTACTTCCTATCTACAAAACGTATAGAGAAAGGGAATCGCAAATGGTATAATTACTTTTAACGATCTCTATTGGATTATACTCGCATATTGCATTTATATCAGTCCTATACTTCGTTACTCTCCGAAGTTTAGTAAATTGAAAACAATTACTTTCTATGTATATATATATACATATATTTACTTTTATTTACCGAATTGCGTTATATTTATTCTTAAATCTATTTTAGTCTAATGTGAATAAATTACGAATGCCGTTTGTACGACAAAAAACGTATTTCTTTAACACTCGACTTCGCAAATTACGTTTGTCCACAAATAAACACATTTTTAATATGCGCATATGTGTATAATTTACATAATCGTTTGTGTATAAATGTACTTTTTGAATTGTTTTTTCGTTCTCTATTCAAGCCTATTTATATAAAATTAACGATCAGCATTATATTACATATATGTACTATACTTTTCACTTTTTCACTAATTTTCGTATTTACAAACTGCGTTTCCATAACTGAAGCTACTCGCAAGTGAATATATTTTTAATTTATGTATGTACGTTTGTATAATAATTATTTAACCGAATCTTAGTTTATAAATATTAAGTTCGTTTTCTACCGATTTGCAAAAAAAACCCTCCTCTTTTACAAACATAAAATGATGCAAAGCTTTTTCAGCAATCTTCAATTTTCGATATAAATTTTAATGTATACTTAATGCATATTTAGTTCGTATGTAGTAGAAAAGTGTTAAATGTATATACTATATTTGCGTTGCTTTTGTTATTGTAGTTAATTTTTTTTTCTAACTTCATGCTTTACTCTACATTTCTTTATGCAATACTTTAGGTTAAAGTCACTTTTTTGTTTAAAATAAATCCATATCACCACAATTAACATCGAGGAAATCATCCTCATAACTGACTAAATCTTTTGATGGAGATGTTAAGGCCGCTAATGCCGATGCTGAAGTTGATGGCTTATCCTGTGAGACATCATTATCAGCATCCGATGGAACATGATTGATGGCATGGGCTTTATAGTCTGGACTTTGTTCATTGCCAACTGGTGAAGGGGGTGGATTCGAAACTGCAATATAAAAAAATCACCTAAAAGTTTTCATAAAAGTATTTTAATAATTACTATTTCCGGGCTGGGTTTCTAAATCTGAGCCAAGCAAGAAGTGTTCTTTTCGGGTGCTAAGTGCCGGCAAGTCTTTCTCTTTTTCGCTTAAACGCTTTTTCAACTCTTCGACCTTGCGATCACGTGATAAGGATTCCATCTCTTTGCGCCATTTATTAGTACGCTGTCGATCTTCAGAAAAAATGGACTTATGTTCTTCTAATGTAAGACTTTTATGATTTTTCAGTAGATATAGGAATACACCGCCTGGTGTACGACGACGTTTGCCATTCTAGAAATAATATATTATTTCGCAGTATTACGTGATATGTGCACAATAATCAATATTATTTCAAAGTTTTACCATTATCATCATGCCGCCATTGAATTCAATAAGTTGTGTTTCCTTATAAATTTCTACTGGCAACTTCGTGCCCAACACATCAACAATGCGTACTGCAAGAATGAATTATAAGAATATCAGTATTGTATAGAAGCTTGAATGAAAACACCAATATAAATACCCAATAATTCATCTTTTTCTTCCTGCAACTTGTTTGACATTTCGCGTGCAACATCGGCTGGATCACGTCCTTCCAAGGGCTCCAAGTCAAGTATAATTCGTGGTTCATATAATGTATCCGAGTCGCTAGTGGGTGATGAGCCACGCCTTCCTCGTAGTGTACCTGTACGATAGCCTAAACGACTTTTTACCGAACGTCGATGTGCAGCAGCTTCACTTGCACAGCGTCCCCGTTTTGCCACCGGCATTAATTCATTATCAGAGAAATCATCAGTTGAATTGGAGAGTCGGCGTTTAAGACAATTATCCCCATTTAATCGTTGAAGCAGGGAAAAGTCATAATTCTCAACGTTTCGATCGTTGATTGCACCATCTAAACGTGCAACTTCACAGCCTCGCATTTCTTCAGTTAACGCTTCTTCTTGCAATGCAGCTGTCCATATATTGTACTTTTTGAATCTTGCACGCTTTTCTTGTGTCTCCATATCAGCTGGTGGTACACGTACCATAACTGTACGTCGTACACGTTTTCGACGCTTACGTTGTGCATTCGCATCTTTTGATACTTCATGTGGCGATTTCGTTGATAATTTCTTTAGACATGCATCGGAAGATTCACTAGACGACGAATCACCACTACTACCATGTATATCCTCTAAATCATCCTCTTCTAACGCGCGTTGCATATCGTGACATGTGGCCAATGGACTACATTGTTCGGCTTTTGCAGTCGCCCCATCAACTGCGACCGTCGTGTTGATTGACAGCGTACTTGGGCGTTGCAATGGTGTGTAAACGTCATCCGAACTAGCAGATAGCTGCAAACAATTTACGTCAAATTAAACATGAATGTAATTTAATAAATATCTTCACACAAAAAAATCATGCCAAATGCCTATATGTGTATACCTCTCCATCCTCTAGATCGACATCGTAGGTGTTCGCGTTTAATTCCATCATTATTTCAGCATATACAAGTGCTGCGTTGCACTTTGACTGACGATATCACTTTCAACAATTCACAAGAAGTAAAGTATATCATACATATCTATTGGTAGTTCACAGTAAAATAAGATGTGTTATAAATTATTTTATAATTTAATCTTTATATCACTATATAAAATGTTGATATTTTCTCGTCTTGTCCTAACGCACGGTTTCCTTGAGAAAGTGCTGTATAGGGTTGCATAGCACATTGCAGCAGAAACAGATCAGCTGATGTATAACTGTCAAAATAAACATAAGTACCATGCCGAAAATATCGAGACTCGAATTTTAAATATTGCAATACTATCAAATTAATTTTTTTCTCAGTTCTACTAATTTGAAAATATTAAAAACCGTGTATCCAAGCGGTGTAAATATATATCCATATTTCTTATATGTATGTAGTTAAAAGAACTGCAAGTGGTAGTTTAGTTTTCAATAAAAATAATTTTAGTTTAAAATAAAAATCTTATAGAAATTTATCAAACTACCAAGGCTTTTTCGAGTTTAATTCAAGTATTCAAGATATTCACAAAATATTTCCTTTAAAGTTTGTCTCTCATCATAATTTTCTTAAACGGGTTTTTAATGACATCCAATTTTATATATTTAGTTCTAACAATAGATTTTTAACATTAATTAATTGAACATACGAAGTCTCAAAATGCGTGGTAATTGCTATATTTTACATATTTTCAAAAAATTCACTCATTGGGAACACCAACTATACGAAGAACCGGAAGTGATCCAGCCAAGAACAGCAGCAACACATTATATGACTTAATTTTCAGAGTACAGCTTTACTTAGTACTTCCGTCTGCGTTGGTAGCCTTCGGCCGCGCTCTAAAAAAATAACCCTGGTCGAGCGAATACCCGGGGTGACTGAAGTACTTTCGTGTAGTTCTCCTTTCTGCGTTAAAAATAAAAAATATATTCAGTTTTTGTTATAAAGTGGTTATATATTTTGGTTATCATGCACTTATAATGAAACAAAATTTGATTTTTTGTTATAAAATGGTAAAATTTTGGTTATTGTATCTATCAGCGACTTCCATTTATTTTGATAATAAGTTGTTTTGAATTTTAGGTTATATATNTCAATGAATCTTCTAAAATAGGACGTTAACCCTAAAAACCTTTTTGCTTTTCTTTTCAAAGAAAGAACACTTTGTCCATTTAATATGTAATCCGCATACTCGTATTGCAGCTCCTGTTAACACAGTTCTTAATTAAATAATGTCATCCACATACATAAATGACTAAAATATTTTATTGTATAAAATTTCGGAATATTGATGAAATGTATCGACAAAATATAGCTAGTGAATTATTAAGTCCAAAAGGGACGAAGTTACACTCATATTGCTCTCGGTATGTTACAAAAGATGTGTATCGTTTTGAACATTCATCCACGGGAACATGAAAAATCTATTGGCAAGATCTAGAGTAGTGAACAGACTAGCCCATTGTAACTTTTCCAACACATCATCGATTAGTACCATTGGAAATTTATCGTGTATTATTTTTTCGTTTATTTTTCTAAAGTCACAGCAAAGCCTTTTCCTACCATCTTTTTTTTTTTTTTTTTGATCCCAAACAACTGGAGAAGCATACTCAGAGTTGCTTTGTCGAATTGTACCTTCACTCAACCAATTATCTATTTGTTTATCTATTGTCTTCTGATCAGCGGATGATACACGTCTTGGTGTTTGGTAAACAGGAATATCATTCGTTACTAAAATCTTCATGTGAACAGGTGATTGTGCCTGACTTACTGGTTTAAAACCATGAACCATATTTAAGACTTTATCCATATATTCGGTTTTTAAATGACACAAATCAAGATCTGGATTGGTATGTTTTTCTTCAAGGGCTACGCAAGGTGCAGAAAATTCAGTTAGTTACTTTAAATCCTTTGTCGTCTACAATATTGCTTTCATTTTTACTCGACCATACATACCTTGCCTCTAAACTATCTTCATTATTTAAACTTTTCAGCTCTTTACTGCTGAATTTAGCGCCCTTTTCGCGAATAATGCCGCTGGTCCGCCCTTCTCGACATCTCCTGTACTACCATGCCACTCAACTATAACTATGCTCGACTATACAAGTTCGAATATTGTTCGAGTGTTGCTCGAATTAAGTGTAGTTTTTGGTCAGGGGTGCATTTAAAAGGCACGGCCGCTACGTGTGGACCTTTGACCCACAGGTTGCACTCCCACATACCAACATTCGGCACGATTCCGATTACTTTGGCGGAGGGGTAAAAAAAACCGAATTTCCATATAAATGGGGAATTGTCGAATAGGGGAGCTTCTCCGGAGGAGGAATATCGGAAAATAATATAATAATAACTTATATTTTTTAAAATATTCACGATTAAAAGTTCAAAAATTTACACTAATAACAGATGGTATTTTTCTATCTTTCACTAAATTTATTCACGTTTTTCATACCGTATATTTAAATACAAACTCTAAACATTGAAATAAGTTCACATTTTATTTTTATTTTGTAATATTTTACCTAAATTTATTAATTTAAAAATCATTTAGCACACTCATCGTTGCAAAAGTTAGATTGTTTACAATTATGAGGAAATTTATACGGATATTATATAAGGATGACTGAAGTACTTTCGCGTAGTACTTCTTTCTGCGTTGGCGGCCTACGCGCTTTAAAAAAAATAACCCTGGTCGAGCGAATACCCGGGGTGACTCAAGTACTTTCGCATTGTACTCCTTTCTACGTAAAAAATAAATAAATATATTGAGTTTTCGTTATAAATTGGTTAAAATTTTGGTTATTATATCTGTTACCTATTCCCATTTATTTTTGATAATACGTTGTTTTGTATATTAGGTGACAATATACATATATAATATTAATATATAATATTATTAAATAATATTACTTATTTGTTTAATAAATTTAAAAAAGAAAATATCCATATGCATGAATGAGCAATTTTTGCGAAAAAGTGGAATTTTTGCGAATTGCCTTATCATCGCATTGCAGCGCTCCATTTCGTCGCAATACTCACTCACTACGAGTGTAAAATGTAATTTTTAAACTAAAGATTTCTGAGGTAAAAAGCCTGCTAAAAGTGTAAAATGTTTATAGTTTAATTTAATTAATTTGATGTGAATAATGTGAGTAAAGTGTGTTTAATGTGGTGAAATTTTTGAACTTTAATATCTCGTAAACTAAGCGTTTGCGGTACCTATTACCCTTGATATTTTTTTCATCAGGAGGACTTCCTCTTTCCAACGGCACTTTCAAATCGCGACGCCAAAGAAATCGGAATTGTGCCCTTTACTTAGCTACCCATTTCTATAGCTGTGAGAGTTGATGAAGGTCATTTGCGCAAGACTTCTTGCTTCATCCCAGTTGTCAAAATAACGGATATTTATTCTAATTAACCGGCGGAAGTAGCAGAAGAGAGAGAAAAGTTGTTGGTTGCATAAAAGCAATCGGTGGACCGGTCATATATTATGCAGAATTTGTAAACGGATTTCATAAATCTATTCGAACTTCTACTGAAGAACGCATACACGAAGAAGTCTTCCTGCTTTTATTTGCTAGATAAGCTTCGGACGCAAGCGCTAACACTAAGAGCCACTCACAGAGGACTAATAAAAACCTGAATGCGATGATACTAACCACTTCTTTTCATGCCCACTCAAACCTACTCATATTACTTACAGTTTTCTATTTCCATTACCGTTTTTTGTGCCTTCCATTAAATGATTTCGAAGAGAATTAATTTGTACTCCCCACAAATAGCATTACTTAACAACTATAACGGTCCAAATGTCGTCTTAACAAGTGAAGTCTTTAGGGGAAGATGCATTACTGACCCTTCTTCCACAGGAAGACGGTACGAAGAGTGTATAATTTACAAAGATGTTTAGAAATATTCCGCGCTCAACCTACTACTGAGAGGCAGCACTATCCAGTGGCTGACGGCTCGAAAACACCGGAAGGTATTGGAGAAGCCATTGCGGGACCGTATACCAAACTATCCATACAAATAAACGTTTTTGGATCATTTTGTTATAAGTCAGGGTGCAGAAATCAATCTCCATCGCAACTATCGCAGTTAGCGTATATCAAGCTTCACTTAAAGCAAACTGAGCTTGTGAAGTAAAATCGCTTTTTGTAGAGGAGTGTATAGCAAAGCTGAACTGTCTAACAGTTTCCTTGTCGCGCTTTATACAGGGCACTGCCGGTTCAGGAAGCACTTGTGCATAGTCCCTTGCGCAAACTGCCAGTTTTGCGACATAGAACAGGAAACTCTCGAACACCTCATTCTAGATTGCTCAGCAATTTGCAGAAGCAGGCTCAAGGTCATTGGTTCCATCTGCGTCAAGAGCGATCTCAGTCGCGCCCAGCAAGCTCCTGGAATTGTTCAGAGTGCAGAGCCTTTGCAACCATACATATAGACCATAGGTCGCAGTGCAAAGCCTCAATTATTTTCTGTCTATCTAAAATAATAACAACACATCTTTTCTTTGTTACTTTTTTAAGAAAATATAATTTTATTGGTGTAAATATATTTCTTTTAACATTTTAATTGATTTTTACTATTTTAGCTGATTGTAATTTTGTGCAATTATAAAATATACTATATATGTCTGTATGTATATAGAATTTAATAGTTTCATCAGTTTCGTGGAAAAAACGTTTTAATCCGCCTTTGGCGTTAATTTGTTCACACTTGGCTGTAAGAATTCCTCAATAATAGCTGAAACCATTTCGTTCGTGGTATTAATGAGAGCTTCGAAGTCCGACTGGCCGGGTTGGGCGCACATCTCGGCGTAATATTTAATTTTGGGCTCGGTGCCACTCGTGCGAAGTGTTATGACGAGTCCATTAAAGAATTTGAAAGTGATCATTTGGGTGCTGGCGCTTACAGGTAAAATTGCATTTCCGTCAGGTTGCTCGGTATCGACGCCTGTTCAATATATGTATATATATTATATATACCATAAAATAAAAGGAATTTTCACCTAAATATTAAACTTACCATTTGTTAAATCGCGTATGAATTGAATTTTATATTTCCCATTGAGTATCGCATTGGGGTATGTTTTTGGGGATCCCGAAAAATTGCGTAATCTTTCGAAAATCTTGTTAATCACCACTGGCTCATAGCAGAAGAAATACGAGGCATTGTTATAATGAAATCCGTACTCTTTGTAAATCTCCTCCAGCTTCTGATCCAGTGAAATACCTTTGACCGCATGCAAATAGTTGGCCATTGTAACAACTTGACAAGCTGCATTAACACCATCCTTATCATAGACTGTTGTGCCGAACATGAAACCGATGGATTCTTCAAACGAGAAGAGCACAGTTTTGCCACTCTTAATTAAACGATCAGCCTCGTTAGCCATCCATTTGAATCCCGTTAATGTTTCAATAAAATTAAAGCCTTCTTTTTGCGCATAAGCTTTAAGTATCTTGGAGCTAACAGTGCTTGCAATCATCCAGCAGTTTTTAAAATCAGGAGACGGATTTTGGTCTTTGTACAAGAACATGGCCCACCACCCCAGTAAAGCGCCGATTTCATTGCCTTTATATATCTATATAATATAAGTAAAAAAAAGCAGGAAAAAGAGTTAACTTTGTCTGCACCAAAGATATAATATCTTCACAGAACTTTACAACTATCCGCATAACAAATATTTTACCCCGTCGAGGGCCATTATTTCAGTAATCTGGCCGTAGAATACCATATACAAGGTTAATCACACTATGAACGAACTCGAACTAGTAGGAGGAGATCTACTACTTCGGTGTGCAGTCTACTTCAGAAATAAGGAGTGCTTAATTATAGATAGATATATGTATATTTCGGGACTAGTATGGAACATATGTATATACAATATTCTCGTAAATCTGATCTTTGTTTTCTGATCATGAGGTCAGTTGTCTTACAGACGCAAGATCCTTCTACCAAAGAGTTTATCGCAAGAGAATAACTTTCTTACATTATCTTGCACTTTTGTTAGGGGCCCATTGGCGTATAGAGGAGGGTCAGGGTCTCAATATAAGGACAAGCAAGATAAACTAGGATCTCTCTAGTAGGCCATAGTGATTCACAAACTGATGGATTGCTGTAGAAGGAATAAACTCCTCCTTTTACTGGAGTGCAATGCAATTATAAGCAGTAATTTAAGCATTGGGAATATTGGTGGTGAACCCACCCGCAAAGGCGACCACTATAAATCAAAGCAGTGCTTAGAAAATCTGTTCGTAGGTTTTCAACAAAGCCCAACAACTTAAAACCAATAGTTCAGAAAATTTTGTGACAACGTCCCTTCAGCTCTATAAGCAGCCAGGATACCCAAGGCAATCTGGAAATAATCTATAAGTAACCAGGGGCGGATAGCATCTTCCCAGCACTTCTGAAACAAAGAGGGCAAGTTCCATTGCCACACCTTGTGTACAGATGAGAGATAACCTTGCTATGACACATACCTCAGAACCGTTTAGAATAAAAGGGATAATATTTATACCTAATATAAGAAGGAAATACTACTCATTAGCTAAATCCTTCATGCCTATTAGTCTCCACTTCATAATAATCAAAGAAATGGAAAATATTATAGACAACGATATGTGATAGAAGGTACTGAATAGCGCACCCTTACATGTAAATCAGCACGCGTACAAAGCAGCTAGGTTTACAATTTCTACAACAGCTGGTTCTACGATATCGGAATTGAAAAGGCTTCACTATAACTCCACCTCGGTTAGATGTAATACGTGCGATGGTTCGAGCTATCTTAAGATGTGTTCAGGTCTTATGACACATAGGGAATGGCTCACTGATTATGTGACTCCATGCTGCCCACGCAATACTGCGACAATAGCCTCCATGGACGTACCTACTTCATGCGATGCGAACAACAAGGATGCTCTTTGGTCTCACGGAGCTTAACTAGGCAGCATGACTCCCAGTCTGTGATTTTGATGACAGCTAACATATTACTCTCTCCCAAACCGAATTCCGATAATCACTACAACAACTGCATCAGGTAGGTAGGTAGGTTGATAACACTCTTATGAAAGAACGAAAGATCACACGAATAATCGCTAGGTTAACTTTTAGCATTAATTATCAAGAGGAAGATTTATACCTATAAAATTATGTTGACTTTGTAAAAACAATGTTTTTTAAGTACCTTCCATTCTCTAGTCATGGGATTTCTTGTAACCAAAGCGAAACGATCAGCATCTGGATCATTTGCAATTACATATTCTACATTCTCTCTGTCCGCCAAATTGATTGCCATATCTAGTGCGACTCTACCTTCCTCTGGATTTGGAAACGCAACTGTTGGAAACTCCGGATCTGGATCATTTTGTTCTTTCACATAAATTACTGGCTTAATTCTTACAGCCTCGAATACCTTTTGCAAGAATGGATAACCAACACCATGCATTGCCGTATAGACAAAACGCAATTCACTTCGACTATTGATATCGATGAATTCCCGCGGCACTCCAGCCTGCACACGCTGCACATAGGCGGTTATAGCATCCTTTGGATCAGCCAATAAGCACGTGCATATATATAAACCATTTGTATCGAATGAATCTTCCCATGGTTCTAAGTTTTCGAGTATTCTATTGTGTATGTGTTTATCGTGCGGTGGCACTATTTGTGCTGAATTCTCCCAATACACTTTATAGCCATTATCATCTTTCGGATTATGCGAAGCGGTGACCATTACGCCAGCCAGACATTTGAAATGTTTTATGCTGAATGGAATCATCGGTGTGAGCACCATCTGTCTAAACAGGTAAACTCTGAAGCCGGCACGTACGAAAATATTGGAAGAGAGCTCAGCGAAACGTTTACTATTATGACGACCATCAAAGCCGAAGACTATGCCACGCGTTCGACATTCGCTCTCACTGAACTGAGTGCGCATATATGTGGATAGGCCCTGTGCGGCCTGCACCACGACTAGCTCATTCATGCCATTAAAACCGGCACGCATACGACCGCGCAAACCCGCTGTACCGAATTCCACACGTTGTAGTAGTACCTGCTTCAATTGATTCCAATTATTACTTTGAACTAGTTTGAGAATTTCATTGCGCGTCTTTTCACATTTGTCCCACTTTAGCCACTGATCGATCTTCGCTTGTAACTCCGGCGATGACATGTTGTTATCGTAGAAATTAAATTAGTTATTTTATTTTTTCTAAATGTTACAGTCAATTTTGATTTCAATTTTCGTATAAATAAATTTTTATATATTTTTTTTTATAGATTTTGGGGGAGCGTTTTGTAACGTTCAAAGCAAATCGAAAAATTGTATGTTTTTGACACCAGTTTGACACTCCTATTGGTTTATAAGTAACGAGTGGCGAATTATAAACAATAATAAAAGCGCAAAATGAATTAAAGTTCGCAAAATACAAATTCAAGCATATACATTTTGATCTGATTTTCTCGTCTCCACAACAGACCGTTTCTATAAACAATAACAATGTTTTTTCCAAAAGTCAGCTCTTAACATTACAAAGCTACTGTTCCAGTAATTCAGTTTATATACTTCATGTTTTTACCATTTTATCTCAAATATACATATGTATGTATTTTATTCATATTATTTTACGTACATTAGATAGTGCAAGTGTTCTACTCAAATTAAATTTGTACAGACATTAATAGTTTAAGTGACTATTGCTTTATATTACATATTTTATCTTTATAGTAACATTTTGCTATGCAATTTAAACTAATTTAATACTTAGTTAATCTCATTTGCAACTAATAGTACAAATTATGTAATTCRTATTTTTTGTTTTGCAAAAATTGACCTCCCTCGTAAAGGACCGCACACACTTTTAGTATCTTAAGGTTTAACTTGCATGCATTACATACATACATACATGCATACATATGGTACGTATATGCAGTACTCCATTTATCGTGATGTGCTGTATAAACATATGCGTATTTTTATTGAAAATTAGATCGAAATTCATAATGCACATTTTGGCGTACGTTTGATGATTGCATTTCTAGTAATTGGATATCGAAACTGTTTAACACAAATGATTTTGTTAATTTTTACTACTGTTAACTTAGTAACTTTTTAACTATTTGCGTGTATTTGCAACCAGAGGCGTGGCAGTTTTTGTCATGCTACTGCCGCTATTGTCATCACCAAGCATCGGAAAGTTTTCTTTAAGTTCATGTTGTTTGCGATGGTTCTGCAAATCGCTGGACATCAGAACTTGCTTGCAAATCGAACACACGTCTAATTTTTGCGTTTTTTGGCGTTGTTCAGGTGAAAGCGTCTTCAAACGTTGCGTATGCACCAGATATAGTTCCTGAAATAAGGCGTAGTGTTCTTAAGTAAATTTTTTTTCAAATGGGAAATAGTGTCAAGAATTACTCACCTGCTGTTTATTAATGTCGGGCAGTAGAGCTAATAGCTCCGGGAAGATGTCATCGAATCTATCTTTAAGTGCCGCCTGACAATGCTCGTAGTAGGGCTGAATTTTGTAGACGCCTTCTCTGAATTTTTGCGATATATAACGAAATTCTTCCATAGCTTCGGGCGTCTTTAATGCATCTTGAAAGTGGGAAACTAGTTTCTAGTAAAATACATATTTGTAAATTTTATTTCTTTCTGCTGTATAAAATATGATCATTTTTACCTGATTGCGAGTGACGGCATCTGTTGGCTGAATGTAGGGATGCGTTCGCACAATGCTATATCTTTCGCCAAACGAGCTTGTAAAGGTGAGGTTGTTGGGTGACTTGGCAATAGAATTTACTGTAACGTTGGTTGATTGAAACCCTGGTGGTGGTTGTGTGTTTGCAGATGATTGTGCGAAGCCAGGAGGTGGACGCATTTGCGGCATACCGTCGTTGTCATTGCCATTGTCCGATGATGTAGGTGAGGTAGAGCTTTGATCGCGCTTCAATGAATTGTTGTTAGTATTGTTGTTTTTTTCTTTAGATTTTCCATTTAACTTCTGCTGTTGATTGCTATTATCACTATTCGATTTTTCTTTTTTATCTTTCGATTTCTTATCTTTTTTGGTTACACTTGTTTCTGTTGTGTTTGTACTTATTTTGTTATTTGTAGCTGATGGCTGTGTTTGTTTTTTGTTCGTTGTATTTACGGTTTGTTTGTTGGTGTTTTCTTTTAATAATAACGGCGCTGGTGCTACTTTAGCTTTTCGATTCTCTAATTCGCGTTGCCTTTTATCGGATTGCTTTTGACCTTTCGCCCAATTATTCGCTTGTATGTGATTTGATTTCGATGAAGAGCCCAGACCCAACGAGGGAAAATCTTGCGATGTCAATTTTGGTGCACTGGCTTGTTCGGAGACTTTTCGATTTTTGGCGTCAAGCTCTTCTTTTTGTACGGTTTGGATCTTTTGAAAATTACTAGCGTTTGCTACCGATACGTAATCGTCAACGAGTGGCCGATGTTTCGCCGACACATTTGATAAGGGTATATGTGCACCGGAAGGAAACATATCTTCATCGATGGGATTACGCAGGGGATGCTTTTTCGATTTACCCGACGCTGGTAAAGCTGGGAAATCCAATGCATGGGGTTTCTTTGACACAGCTCCGCTATTGTGGTTTACACTAGATGTTGGGCGATTTGAGACATGAAGTACCATACCAGTGGCGCCATTAGATTCTGCATTACCACCAGAGCTACGACGGATGCCGCCTCTCGAAACTGCGGGTGCTTTACGTAAAACTGTAGATATAGGTGGTGCTGCTTGATTCGTACGTTGTTCATTATGTTCTAAAATATTCAATCAACAATGAAAATGCTTACGACGTAGTGGAGTAAAATTATAATAATACCTCCTCCGCCGCCGGCCCCCAGTGCAGGAAAGTTTTCTTTTGTACGTGCTAAACCGGAAGCGCCACTTCGCAATCGGTTGAAAGTTGCGGGTACCAGAGGCATGCTGGGACCGCCGCTAGTGCCAGCCAATGACGGAAAATCTTCTTCATTACTTCTGTCAATTGTTATGGAGCGTTGCTGTGCAGTCTGAGATGTAGAAGTATCCGCGGGTGCATTGTAGTCATCAGGGCTATTTTTAAGAAAGTCGAAAATTTTCAATTCAATACTTAGTGTTATAGCCTACAAAGAATAAATCTGAAATACTCACACACGCGAACGAACATTGGTGATACCACCGTCTGGCAGTCCAGGCCGTGCTGGTCGCCCAAGTGTTATTTCCAATTGCACTGTGCGAGTTTTCTTCGCTTCTTGTTTGTTCAAAGTGCTACCATGAGCACTGGCGAAATGAGCCTTATAGTCGATTTCAGTGCGAAATGCTCCAATGAATTGTTCAGTTGCACATCGGCCTTCCTCACAAAGAAAGTGACGCGCTCGAAAATGATTAGCCAGAGCATCATAATCCCTTTGACATAACAAATATGAGTATTTTTTTAAATAATATGTTTTCCAGATCATTAGAATGATAAATACCTGTAAAAGTCATTGGACTCGTCATCACAAAAGTGGCAGAAGTAATGTTCTCGACGCTTGTGACGAAACAGTTCGTCGCGATCCAAATAGCGCTTCTTACAGAACTCACAAAGCGGATGTCCGCGATGTGAACGGTTATCACGATCACCTTTCGTGCGATGTAAACCTAGTTCGGCTTGTGTGTAGCAACGCCGCTCGAAGGTAAATATTTTCAAATGTTCCGTGCATAGGTCACAGAAATGCAAGTCGTGTTCTTTGCGCACATGATATTCAAGGTCTTTAAATCTTCGGAAGGGTGGCACATTACATCTGTATATTGCAAAAAATACGAAAAATAAATAACATTCACAGCACTAGATTAAATACATTTATATGCTTATAGATATATATAAATATGTATTATAAATACACATATGTTTGAGAATAAATTAAACTTACTTTGGGCACGGATGGTCTAATAAATTAAAATACGCCTGTTGTATTTTCGCTGTGTAAAAACCGATTTTATATTTCTTGTTATAATACCCTGAACGATTTTTGGATTCGAGTGTACGATACGGCAGTTTATCAAAGGAGAAAATCACCTGGTAAAAAAATATATAATAGAGCAAGTTAGCGTTCCGTAGCAATACAAAAAAATTTGGTGATTACAAATTGAAACTCACTTTGGACAACACTTGCCGACAAATGGGACACTCATTCTGCTCGCAAAGTACACGCAAACGTGTGGAGCACTCATAACAAATTGGATGATCACATTCACCAATGGAGTAAATTTCCACTTCCTTACAACAAAGTACACAAGCATCATGTTCCGTTTCCTCACTTGATGTCTGTTTGTTTGCATTGTTTCCAGAATCATTAGCAGATTTTTCACCTGTACTCATTTTGGACAAATATAAAGCAACAGCTGCTTAAGTCGAGTGAAGGGCAGGTGTTATAGCACAAAAATATCTTATCGAACGGGCTTAGTATCCGCTGGCAGTGAGCAGCCACCGTCACTTTCAAAATGTCAAATTACCAATAAATACAATACAGATATTTATAATAAACAATTGTCAACAAAACACAAGTTTCTTTTTGTTAAAAGAAATTGCACAAGTATCTAAATTGATAGTTAAATTGGTGTAAAATACGGAGTGAACGTGAACAGCACGTTGATGAAATTGTAAAACTTTGTAAAATCCAATTTGACAGTGTGGATGACGTGGAAAATGAAAGTGATGCCAACTATCTATTTGCAAAAAACATTTTATATAATTTGACTGAATTAGTATAGTTAAAATATAACTAATGTAAAATCTTTCTTCATTTTCGTTAAATGCGCAGATATGCAGTTTTGACAGCAAATTCAGCAAAAATGTAATAACACTAAAAGAAACACCCAATTTCAACTTGTGTGAATACCTCAATGGAATCCATCGAAGAATGCAGAGTGAAGCACCGCCGTTTTATTTTACTTTATGACGGCGAAGAGAGTTTTAGATGAGAACGGCGCGCCACTTTATAAAGTCGAAAATCTGCAATGGCAAATTGTTGTTCACTGGCATTCACCAAATTTTCGTTTTTCGATCGAAGTACACACGTGTTAAAACGGTTGCATTTGACGTCGGCGTATCAAAAATTCGCTTTAATAAAAACTGAAAATTATTTACAGTCTTTGCAGAAGCGTTTAATTTCACATTCTGTAGCATTATCTCAAGTTTCGAAACAGATCAAAGAGAACAAGAACAGCTATAAAATGTCGGAATATACAATCATCGAAAAAGGAGCAGCTAACTCAACTAATTACAGCATCTACATAAGTAAATATATTGACCACATAGATATGTAGTTTAACATAAATTATTATAAACAGTTGACCTTTGCTTATTTAAACATCCTATTAAGTCGGATTGTTATATAATACAAATATTGATAAGCCTGGAGTAGTTTTCAATAGCATTGTGAAATAATATTTATTGGGTGCAATTGATTGGCACAATAATAAAATAATTTTTTATGTGCGTGGAAACTATTATGTTAACTCTTGGTTAAACTAATATTTCTAAGCTTTAAATGATAGTATTAGTAATGTTCTTATTATTTAGAAAATTCGGCTGGAACTATCGTTTCGCCCTTGCACGACATTCCATTGTATGCCAATGACACGAAAACCATCCTTAACATGGTTGTGGAAATTCCCAGATGGACGAACGCAAAAATGGAGGTAAACAAAATTAATGTCTTATAGTAATTGCAATTTGTAAGCGTGCATTATCCTACTTTAACAGGGTATAATAAATGTTTCATCAGCAATAAATTAATTTTTTTAAAATTATAGATTAGCACAAAGACCCCACTAAATCCCATTAAACAGGATGTTAAGAAGGGTAAACTGCGCTTTGTAGCCAACTGTTTCCCACACAAAGGTTACATTTGGAACTATGGCGCATTCCCACAAACATGGGAGAATCCTGGACATATCGAGCCATCCACTGGCTGTAAAGGTGATAACGACCCAATTGATGTTTTGGAAATTGGTTATCGTGTTGCAAAACGTGGAGAAGTAATACAAGTTAAGGTATTGGGTACAGTTGCATTGATTGATGAAGGTGAAACCGATTGGAAAATTATTACTATTGATGTCAATGATCCATTGGCTGAAAAAATGAATGATATCGGAGACGTTGATAAATATTTCCCAGGTCTATTGCGTGCCACTGTTGAGTGGTTCAAAGTAAATTATACGCAGATCAAGCGTTGTTACATATACTAATCCACTCTTGACTTCCAGATCTACAAAATTCCGGATGGCAAGCCCGAAAATAAATTCGCTTTTAATGGAGATGCCAAATGCGCTGCTTTTGCCAACAATATTATTGAAGAAACTAACAAGTTTTGGCAAGGTTTAATTATAAAGGAATTGGACGGTGGCGAAATTTCAATGTTAGTACTTACTATCGGTTTGTGAATGACTTGGTTTTTTTTGATTATAATTAATGAATTTTGCAGCACTAATACATCAAACAGTGATACACCTGGATACATTAAACCTGAAGAAGCTGAACAAATCGTGTCGTCAGCACCTGAAGGTGGTGAGCCCGAAGAATTGTCGGATACAGGTAAGATGGCTTACATCACAAACCATTTATAAACTATGCACGCTTGTTTGATTGTAATGTTCCTTATTAATAACTACACAGCTGTCGAAAATAAGCACAAAGAGACTAGATATTTATTACTTTATAATTATAAATTTCCTATAGCTAAAACTGTACAAATAATTTTACTAATTTTTGAAAATTTCTCTCGGTAATTGTGGCTTGTATATATTCTTTGAAGGCGGATTTAGTTTTTATAAATGTTTGCAAATCTATTTATTTTGTATATTCTTATTTTTTGTAAAAATAATAATAAATGTTTTTGGAATAAAATTGTTTTTACTTGTTTCTTGCAGTTGATAGATGGCATTTTGTACACTTGAAGTAAGGCAAAAATTCTGTGATACAGTGACACACTGGCCTTACAAACAACGCTGGCATCAGGCTATATATTTTCCATTCAATTAAATAAAAGTGTATCTACTCGCAAATATGCTACACATTTTACCAATAAACTTATATATGTATACGCATACATAAAAGTGTTTCTTTTTAACTACAAAACCGACTTCATTGCAAAGAATGAAAAGATTTTGGGATTAAATACTACATTAAGAGATCTTCATATTATTTTTTAGTACATTTCTGTTTACTTCTTAATAATTAATACAATTTTAAAGTAAACTCGAAATAATTTATTTGGTATTTTATTTTCAAAATAACGGAAAACTGTTGAAATCAGCGGTATAAAAACAGTTCAAATCTTGTTATCGGTGTTCTTACCACTTATCGGTCTTAGTTTATGAGAAAATTCGGTAACGACGAAGTTCTACCGAGTTGCCAGTTCCCTGACATACAAATTCCATGTCCGGTCCGGTTACGTAGACCCGACAGCCGCGGGAGCTATAAATTATGAAATTTGTTTCCAATATTTAATCAATTAATATATTAAATTTTGTATTTATTATAATATTGCAAATATATTTTCAAGTCTGATAATCCGAAAACATATTCGTAAAAAATTCTAGTACCAGAATTTTAGTTGGCAAAGCAGTGCATAATTCTTGATAGCAATAAAAGACATCGATATAAATTTGTCTGAACTAACTCTTCGCCGGCTGAGTTGTGACATTTATGTACTTAACTTTGACCCCTGATTAAACAATTGTATATTCGGTACGAATAATCTTCCACTGTGTTCATCAGATCGATTCTGTACATTAAGTTTAAATAGTGTTGCTAAGTTAAATATTTTAGCGTAAGTAAGAAATACATAGTATTAGAATAAATTTAAAGAAATACACATACATTTTTACGTACATACTGTTTTGCTCTAAATATATAGATTTTTGGTTTTGTGATAACGTTGAACCGGTCATAAATGATAGAAGTCTAACTTAGTAATTTAGTTTACAATAACACTATAAAAATGTACGTACATATCTACAATAAATTGTAAACACGTACACACGTCGTACTGCGCTTGAATTATCTTTTAAGTTTGTTATGTTTCTAGATTATTGTAATTCATGGCACAATTAAGACATTTTTGAAATTTGCTTTAAAAATTTTGGCGATGATACGAGTAAATAGCTTTTCTACAATTTTCAGAAGCAAAAATGGCATCTCCACAATTACGTGAAGCAATCGAGCAGTGGTTGAAGTGGGATAAATGCGAGAAAACTCTATCCGAAATAAAGTCATTGGAAAAGGCCGAAGATTGGAAAAAATTAGATGAACTTCTGAATACTCGACTAGCATTTGGCACCGCTGGTTTGCGGGGCAAAATGCGGGCTGGCTTTAATGGTATGAACGATTTAGTCGTAGCACAAACAGCACAAGGCTTATGTACTTACATTACGGAGCAAATTTCCGATACTTTTCGGAAAAATCGTGGCATTGTTTTTGGTTATGACGGCCGACATAACAGTAAACGGTTTGCAGAGATATCGGCAAATGTTTTTATCCGTGCTGGGTTTAAGGTTTACCTCTATAGGTGTTTAGTAGCCACTCCTTTAGTACCCTATACCATAAAATATTTCAAATGTCTGGCTGGCGTAATGGTAACTGCTTCACACAATCCAAAAGATGATAATGGCTATAAAGTGTATTGGAATAATGGAGCACAAATCATATCGCCACATGATAAAAACATACAGAAAGCTATACTGGCAAATCTTGAGCCATGGGTAGACACTTGGAATACAGAGGATTTATATAACTCGGCAATTCTTCTTGATCCGAAAGAGGCTATTAAGACTTACGTGGACAAAGTGCGTGAAACATTGCCACCATCTTTTATTGAAATAAACAGTCAAAGCAACTTGCGTTTAGTTTATAGTGCAATGCATGGTGTGGGTTATCCTTTTGTGAAAGATACATTCGAAGCGGTAAAATTACAACCTGTTATAGCTGTGGAAGAACAAAAGGATGCCGATCCAGAGTTTCCAACAGTAGTATTTCCAAACCCGGAAGAGGGTAAAAGCGCATTGGAATTGTCAATAAAGAAAGCTGACAGTACCGGTTGCTCCATTATACTTGCCAATGATCCAGATGCCGATCGATTGGCTTTGGCTACGAAAAATCCAAATAGCGGCAAGTGGAAGGTAAATATGTATGTGTAAATTATAGCAATAGCATTTTCTTAAATACTTTTATTAGGTTTACAGTGGCAATGAAATCGGAGCACTGCTCGGGTGGTGGGCTTTACATCTTTATAAACATACACATCCAGAGGGTGATCTCTCTAACTGCTATTTCCTTGCCAGCACTGTAAGCTCTAAGATACTCAGGGCTTTTGCCGAAAAGGAAGGTTTGCATTTTATTGAAACCCTCACGGGTTTCAAGTGGATGGGCAACGAGACGGACAAGCTCATTAACAGTGGAAAAATGGTATTATTTGCTTTCGAAGAGGCAATAGGTTTTATGTTCTCGACTAATGTTTTGGATAAAGATGGCGTAAGCGCTGCTTGCCATTTAGCTTCTATGGCTTGTTACCTTGAGGCGAAAGAAAAAGTCTCATTCGATGAGAAACTACAAACTATATACAAGGAATATGGATTTCATTACAATAAAACATCTTACTTCTTTTGTTACGAACCACCAATTATTAAGAAGATTTTCGAACGTTTACGTTATTTCGCTGGAGAATCGAAAACATACCCGTCTAGTATACTTGAGGGAAAATACAAAATTAAGTATATACGCGATTTGACCAACGGTAAGTAAGTTTTCAAAATAAAATTTGCATATTTAACAAATAAATCGAAAATTCTTAATAGGAGTTGACACAGCACAATCTGATGGCAAGGCCATTTTACCCGTCAGTTCCAGTAGCCAAATGATTACGTTTACATTCCATAATGGTCTTGTGATTACATTGCGCACCAGTGGCACTGAACCAAAAATCAAATATTATGCCGAAATGTGCGCACAACCGGGACAAGAAGATTTTGATGGTCTAATCAATACCACGAATGAGATGGTGGAAGCTATAGTGCAAGAATTTTTGCAGCCAGATGAGAATAACCTAACAGCCAAGTCTGATTGAAGTCTTTATTAAGGCCAACAAATAATTGGAGCAAAAATGTATTGATTTTTAGTTGTAAAGTTGTAAAGGCATTTCTTATTGGACGTACACAACTTATATCTGTTCGTCTCCTCTCAGGTTTCATTACGTCATCTTAAATAATCATAAATAACATTCCGAATAACGCGATCGCGGAAATCACGCTTGTTTACCAGTAAACAGTGATAATAGAAGAATGTCTTTGGTACACTATTTGATATTATTAATGGCGCACACATACGAATATACGTGTTTATATATCGTATGTCATCATGATTAAATTATTAATAACAACTTCTACTAGAATCATGGTATGGAACAAAGGTTATGATTTTATTTTAATTTTTGTTTTCTACACAAATTCCATTGTTTTACCAAAGATATGCTATTTTTTAATGGTATTTATCGTATTGTATTGTCAGACAAGAAGAAATTGTAATATCGGTTCTCACTTAACAGACGGAGCGAATAATACTACATTGTATTGGATTATTATTATTGTTGTTGTTTGGTTGTAACAATTATCTAAATCGTGTCTGGTGATAATAATTGTATTTACCGTAATATTTCCGGACAAGAATAAAGTGTAACAGTATAAATGTGTAATCTCATTCTTATTTAACAAATGGAGCGAATTAGACTCCACTTTAGTGGATTATTATTACTACTATTGTTGTTGTTGTTTTTAGTTATAGCATACAGCTGCCATTTAGGCTGACCGTTGAAAATCAAGATAAATAATTATTAACACCTTTTTTGCAAAACAATGTGTCTATGAAGGGTATTATATCTTCGGTGCAGCCGAATTTTACGTATTGAAGAACAAAGTTTACGCTCATGTCACAATTAAGCTGCTTAATAGAAACCGTGACCTAAAGAAATCCAAATAGATTCAGCTAAAAGTGTGAAAGTTAATTTTATTATTTCCGTCTTGGCGAATTGAATGACGAGTCTGCAGACGCAGGATAAATTTTCTTGGATCCATGTTTCCAAATAGGGATCACATCGCCTCAGTAGCACCTAGCAGTATATTGGAATTTATAAATAAGCTGGGGCTAGCAGAGAATACAATAGGCCTAAGGGCGCGGTGCATTCCTTATGTATTTATCTTATCTATGTATATAAATTAAAACCAATTATTAATCTCAAAGGAGAAATATTTAATTTTTATATTCAAAAATTTTCAAAATTTAAGTTTTCAAAAACAACTAATTGAACTTTGTCCGCTTTTATTCCTATAGATTTTCAAAATGCAAAAATTAAAGTTTCATTTATTATTTGTTAAATAATTTTTATTGATATAAAAAAGAGCGATCCACAGGCCATTGTAACGCAATATGAGTATATTTACGCGAAATTAAATATAAATAAAAAAATAGGTCGGTTGCGCAACGCAAACCGATAATACAGGCGCACAGTTTGTGAATATGGGAGGGAGCCTCAGCATATAGTGTTTTTAATCAGCCATATAATATTTGATAAATTTATGCTTAACTAGTTAATATTAATAAATAAATAGATGTATGTATATATTTGTTTTATGTTTGCAACAATGCCATTACAAATAATAAGAGCTTCTTAAAATGATAAATAAGTAATTAGCTAGAAATAAGTAGGAAAATTCGCACTATAAATATTTGAAAGCTTATAAATATATTCAAATATATGTTGGTATGCACGTACATGCACATTTATATAGTTAATGCATTAGAAAATAACGCCAAAACAAGCATGCATATATTTCATATGTTTGTTTCTTGAGTATCCGTATAAAAAATTTATGATTTTTTCTCTTACATTAGAATATTTGTTATGCTTAACTAGAAGTTGGGTTTTGTTTATAGTAATACAATTCATCATGAATTAGTAAATGCTTTTGAGTATAAAATACTTAATTCTGCTATTTATGCGTAGTCAATGAATGTTTGTAGGTGTGTTAATTGTATAAAATCTCATATAAAACTGGCTTGGGCAGTCTCCAACAATATATGATTTATTTGTCAGCATTTCCTGTTAGTAACTCTTAAATATACCGAGTTATAATTTCATTTTAGTTTTAAGTGGTTGAAGTGAGATTGCTTTTTTTTTAAATTAATTAGCAGATTAGTTGATTATGTAGAGAACTTTGAGATTTGTTTACAGTAAAGGAGACTTTTTGTGTAATTATAATTTAACTACTATTTTCCAGATTTTTGTCAACATAACATATTGAGAATTGAAAAACTTATAACTACATTTTTATTTCATATACACTATATTATCTATATATAATATTCGAAATTTGCTTTCGAACGCTTAAA